CTGCTGAACGAAAGAGCAGCAAAAATGTGAAATTAATGGGCTTACAGAAAACAGAGCAAGGCCATGTTCGAACTGAGCTTTGCAGTGGCCATGGTCGGCAGCCCGTTTCATCCATTTTCTTGCAAGCTTGCGGTTCTGGGGCAAACCTTCCCCGACAGAGTAGCAAAGCGATATGTTGTGCATTGCTCGCACGTACCCTCCCTCCGCAGCCTTTAGGTACCATCTAGCCTGTTACAGCCACCATGATCAAGAGTAAAGACAACTAATGGAGAACAAACGAAGGTCTATCTATATACTCTGAATCTATAATGTGAAACAACCATTTGGCAGTTTCAACTGAGGACAAGATGAATACATACAGCCTCTTGCAGGTTGGGAGAAACAACACGGCCTTGGTGCAGGCTGAGGGCTAACTGATACTGTGCTCGGATGTACCCACTCTCTGCTGCTCTTCTCAACCATTTCATTGCTTCCTTCGGATTTGACGGCTGAACTGCACATACAAAGGCAGTAAGTAGCACGTAATCGGAGTCAATTCAGTGCAAATTGGTCAACGAATTGACGCTCCTAGATCGATCCGAAAAATCCCAAAATTTTGGCCTGGACAAATGAAATCGCATTGCAGCCACGTAGAATTCGTTCGTGCAGGAATGAGATTTAGGTACCTTGAAGATAGGAGATTCCGAGGTTGCATTGACCAGCAGCGTCACCGAGCTCCGCAGCTCGCCGATACAAGGCGACCGCCTTCTCCTTCTCCCCCCTCTCCCAGTACACGAGTCCGGCATCGACCATGGCGAGCGCGGATCCACGCGCCGCGCCCTTCAGGAAGGAATCGAGGGCCTTTTCGAGGTTGGGGCGCACACTGCCTCGTCCGTGCTTGAACCTCTTCCCCCACCGAAGCAGCATCATCGCCTCCCTCAGCGGCTGCAGCGCCTCCCTCCACGCTCTGCACACCCCCGACGCCGCTTGCAGGTTCGGCAGACTGAACGGAGCAGCAATCTTCGTCAAAACATCGTACGGAAGCGCCGAGAAATCAGCTGCGATAACAGACGAGGGAGAAGGCAGGTCGGGAGAAGGCGAGGGCCTGGAACCGAACTTTATGGAGGTACCGAAGGAGAATCTGCAGCGTCTGTCCCTGTCGTAGGGTTTGAAGAAGGGGAAGGAGGTGAAACGAGAGCCTTGAGATCTGTCGGGCCATGTTCTCTGCTTCATCTTCTTCTCCGGCGAGGATGACCGCGTCACTCTTACGTCAACTCACCAATGCGTTGCTGCGACTTTTCTTCCTCCGTGTATTTGTTGAGATGTCCCCTTCCTTTAGACTAATTGATTTTCTCTCTCTTTGTTCACTTGCAGGATCCGACGGTTGTGTGGCTATTGATGGCTGATCCACGATATAATTGTTCGCCACGTGTCATACTCAAACCGCCAAGAGAATTACTTTATTTGAATTATTATGAGGGCGCAGGGTAATGTTGGGCCGGGCCTGTACGTATTTCATTTCATGATAAGCAATATAAAACACCAAATTATGAAAATGATTGCAATTTACTTTGACAAGATGCTTTATTATTGTTTTTTTATTGAAAGAATTGTTAGACAAAGACAAGGGAGATATTTGGTCAGTATTGCAATTTGATTCGCTAAAAGTAATTAAAAATATGTCCTAATTAATAATTAAACCCACTTGGGGCTCGTAAATTAGAAAAAGAATATTTTATATATGTTTCACTCAATTTCACCCTTAAAACCCGTTAAAAGATATTGTCTCAAATTCGGCTGACAACAAAGGATAGATTATAGACAAATTGAGTATATAGACGGGATTATATACAAAAAAAAAAAAAAAGAATGTCGGAAGGAATAAAAAGCATAGCTCAAATTCAGGAGTATCCAACATTATCATTGTATATCGAGACATGAATAGGCTGTTCATAATGAGAACTCTCTTTTACTTCGGAAGACCAAAAAATAAAAATAAAAACTCCATCTTCGCATGATAATTGCATCCGCGGAAAAATCAAATGGATGACAGTGATGCAAACATATATATTGCCGGAGGTGCGAACACTCGAGCAATTACGACACAATGCAATGCGTTGGCTCCTTCCAAAATTTGGAAAGAATACATCTTTCTCGATTTTTTTCCAGTCATTTGAGAGAGTTATTAAAAAAATATATATAACTGAAAAAGTAAACTACGGTATTGCTTTTTTAATAACTTCCCAACTGATTCTATTCATTTATAAAGAAAATGAATTACAACTCTTTTTTGTTCGAACCTAATCCATCCCAAGAACACAACTCTTCCTGAGTTTGTTCCCCCCTTACAACATGAATTCTATCAGTTCATACACTATGTGTGCCTCGCACACCCCGTGTAACCCTAGACTCGTCTAGGCGTCTAGGCCCGTTGAGCGGTTCGCCTGTTATTTGAAGGCTCCCCCTCAGATACACTTCACTCTATCTCAAGTATCACTCACCCGTGTTTCCCATACAAATATATTTACGCCCAAAGCTTTCACGACTCAAACACTCTCTCTCTCCTTGGGTGATCTCTTCTTTTGTGCACGCCTCTTTATTTATGTTCAGCCTCCTGCATAGAGTTTCCATTTCGTTTCATCATATTTGTTTTTCCTTTTGCTTACTCTTTCTATTTTTCTTCAATGGCATATTTCTTTTTCTCTTGCAAGTCATTCCTTTGCTGGTTGTTCCTTCCTTTTCTTTACATTGGCATGTTTCTCTTTTTATCTGAGATCTTCTAGATGTTGAATCTTCTCTTGGTGCTCTTTCCTTGCATTAACAATAACAAATAAAATCAATTCATCTTCGACCGTGATCTTTCGCGAAAGTTGATAAAATCTCAACACCACTCTAATCGTGTCAAGATCTATCCAATGATAGGTTATGTATTATTATCAAATTATTATAAATAGGCAACGTAGTTTCATTTTATTGGAATTTTCAATATCTATCATAAATATTAAAAGGATTAGATAAACTCAAAAAAAATTAGAAAAAGAGTAATATCTAAACTTTATGCAAACTGAAACACTATATAATTTTAAATATTTATTTTTTAAAATCAACAAATGAGTTTATCGAATAATATAGCAGTATTTGGAAAATTAAAAACCCTAAACCCTAATCGCATATAAATACATAAAATTTTATAAAATTTCAAATAAATACACGAATTATAAAATTCTTATGTAAATACCTTAACTTTTCAAAACTTTTATAAAATACCTATATTTTTGAAAATTTTCCGAATAAAACAATATTCGTTAACGATGTTTAACGTGTACGAATGTTAAGTCATTGTTTTTTGACAGATTCTGTTATAAATTAAATGTCGTTAATGTATTTTGGTTTTATTTGGAAGATTTTCAAAAGTTTGGGTATTTTTTGTGGAAGTTTTAAAAAAATTTAGGTATTTATATAAAAGTTTTATAGTTCGGTTATTTATGCCAGAATTTTGTAAAAGTTTATGTATTTATATATGAAAAAAAAAACAAATTGAAAAATATCAATTGCGTCCATAATTCCACAACTCATATATAGCTGATCATTCATAATATAGATTATAAAAAAAAAAAGGGTTTGATCGATGAAACACTTTTTTTCCGACTGCATACATGGCGAAAGCAACCTGAAACCTTTTTAGTTTTTACTCCCCAAAAGTAAATAAACGATGCGATATCATATCATATATAATAATAATAATAATAATAATAATAATAATAATAATAATAATATTATTATTATTATTATTATTATTATTACTACTTATTATTAGGTAAAGACGGAATCATAAGGTAAGCCACATCGGATCGATATCTTTGTATCGGAGAATTAATGGATGGAATCGGGGGGGGTACCACCGATTCCATCCATTAATTCTCCGATACGAAGATATCGATCCGATGTGGCTTACCTTATGATTCCGTCTTTACCTAATAATAAGTAGTAATAATAATAATAATAATAATAATAATATTATTATTATTATTATTATTATTATTACTACTTATTATTAGGTAAAGACGGAATCATAAGGTAAGCCACATCGGATCGATATCTTCGTATCGGAGAATTAATGGATGGAATCGGTGGTGATGGAGGCAAGCCTTTGGAGGAAGACGGAGAAGACAGCGTCATCGGAGAACAAGCTGACTCGGACGTACTTATTGTCAGAACCACACATGCTGCCAGGGCGAGTCAGAACCTTCTGATTCCTGAAGAGGCTCGCCAGGTCACTCTCCTCGTTCCACCCCAACCATGCAAACCCTATATATTGTTCCATTTCCACATGCTTAACATATATACCGCTTTCCTAAACTCATTCATTCGGTTTTTGTTTTTTTTTTTAAATGAGAAGAGAGAGATGATAGAATGGCACCTGGGTATGTTTGGATGGGTTTTTGGAAGAAGTTGCAAAAGGCTTCGGGGTAGCTAGGGAGAGAGAAGATGTGGGTCTGGTCGACAACCTCTCGAAGCATCTCCCACCTCTTCTTCAATTTGTCTCTCCCGAACTCGAAGACGCTCTCTGTCTCCGACTGGCATGTCTCCTTCATCACATTGAGGATCTTTGCCGCTCTTATCTGTGACTCCTTCGACACCCCTATGGAGTTCAGCAATAAGTAATACACCATCTTCTTCGCCACTTCTTTGTCCTTCACAATCGCCCACCTATACATGCATCCATCATATATACACACACATAAAAAATCATATTCTTATATATATGTATGTAAACATATCGATCGGGAAAGGAGTGTTTGAAGTAAGACCCGATGCGGGAGCCGGCGTGGCCGGTGATTTTGGAGAAAGTGAAGAGCATGACGTCATGGTCAGGGGAGTGGGTGATGGGAGTGTAGTGAGGCCAGTAGTATGCGAAGTCGTAGATGGCGTTGCCGTCGGGCTTCTTCACCACTTGTTCCCTTATGGTCCCGTCTGGGTTGTTGGGTGACGTCACCAGCTCTATGTATGGCCCCTCCTTGTCGAAGCTCATCGCGTCCCCTTCCCATCTGTATATCTCCGATCTTTGATACGACGTCTCCTCCGAGTATGTCTTCATTGTTAAAAGTTTTCTATGAATTAGTACTTGTCGTACAAGAATGAATCTTATAGCTAACTAATAGATGTTTTCAGTAGAATAGAATAGTAGTAGGGCGTGATGATTCGTAATCGTTAGACATGACATAAAGAACCAATTAGTTAGGGTTGGCAGAGATCTAAAAAGGGAGATTTGGTGACAACGACAGCAAATGATCCAAGAGGAGAGATCCTATCATATTAACAAAGATGGGAAGAACCCACCATCACCATTTCTACCCAAAAAAGGAAAAATTACTATATAACATATTTAAAACCGGAGAGAGAGAATGAGACGGTGACGTACGGAGTAAAAGGGAGAGGCGGCGACGACGCTGACGGGATGGGAGGAATGGAGGGAGGCGAGGGAGTGAATGGCGGCCTGGCAGAGCTGAGTGGATCCATTCCCCACCACTATGTATCGTCCCTCAGTCGTCGCGTTTCCGACCGCAGCGTGAATCCCTCGGATGGCTTGGTCCAGCTCCGGCAGCACGTACCAACACAAGTTCTTCAAGTCGCTGAAGTAACTCATCATTTCCCATCCCTTGATCTCCACCGTACACTTGTCCCCCATCTTCCTCCAGTACTCCTCGAACACCTTCGGATCCCCTCTACACCACCACCACCAAATTCAATCCATAGCTCCCATTGTCAAACGTATATATATGCAATAAAGCAATATGCTGCACTCTTAAACTATTTAATTTCAGGCGAATAAAATACAACATACATATACACGCGTTACATGGTTGAAATGCATTCAAATTTGTTGTATAGTGCAACATACTGATCGAGATTGATGACGGCCTCGGACAAGGGGTTCTTATTGTTAGAACCGTTGTCGGATTTCTTGGCGTTCTCAAACCCTACCATCTTCTTCTTTGTTTCTCTTAATTTTCTGCTTCGGTGTATTTCAAAATTTATGTGAGAATGATAAAATGCTTATGGTGAGGGGTATTTTATAGTGTGCAGAAAATGGCACTTCCCTTTTTTATTTTTATTTTTACAGAAAAGGTATTACTTATTTGTTTATTGGATTTGAGATGTGGTGGTTGTTAGTCTTTCCTTTTTTCTTAAATTGATTTGTCTACTAAAATGTTATTTACTTTCTGATCAATAGAAATCTGGCTTGGATGAATGCTTGTCGAGACCTGATTACCCCATACTTGGAATTTATCTGTTAGCGGAAATTGTAAATTTTCTTTTTAAAAAATAAAATAACAAATCATCTTCATTTATGGGTAGAGTACAAATTTATGGATTGGATTCTTTTTGATAAGTCACAAGGGTGAGCCACAAGGAAGGAAATCTAAGGGTCTTTTATCAGTGGGATCTAATAGTAATATCCCATTACCTTCCAAATGAAATCAATTAAAATCTTTGATTTTTTTCATTTTTTAGAACATTTATTGGAGATATGAATGTTGGATAAAAAGAAATTCTGTATTTTAAGGGGTAAGAATATCAAAAGAATCTTTGTTATAAATGTTTATTAGAAATGAAAATTTAAACTTTAACTAAAAAATGTCTTGCTAATGAAGTGTAGGTACACTATAAATTATGAAAGAAAATTCGATCATACAATACAAAGAATATTATACCATCATAGCGGAATCCAGTAGCGTTTATATATCCCAACAGAACTATATAACCTCATAATGTTGAAGTCTTTAATGGTAGAACAGAGAGCTCCGGTTGTCAACTGGGAAAACAATTACTTGGATTGGATTTTGTGACAGAGGAAGTAATAATAGAAAGTGAGTCGATTGGGGTTTGACATTTCTAAAGTCAACGCTAGTGAGGTTTCGCCTCCTTTCCTTTTAATCATTTCTTAATCTTACTTTTAGTCGTTTATATTTCTCGATTAATTTTTCGATTTTAATTGCTGATATTATATATTATACGCAAGTAATCATTTTTGTGTTTTTTACTATTTTTCATGCGATTAATACTACTTCAAATGGGCCCCTAAATCCATGTATCTTTAGAGCCCAAATGTATTGGCCCATTTATTTATATGTCGTTGTCCAATTATAGTTTTTACCGTAATGGGCCACAACCTAGTCATAATGTTATGAACAGAAACGGCCCGGAGAGTATTCAAATGCATCTTATGAAATATAAACCTGTATCTATTTCAAAAAATATTTAATATCATTAAGAACGTACGGATGTATAAATGATATATATATATATATATATGTGTGTGTGTGTGTGTATGTATATATAAGCTCTTAAATGACGATGGGTGGGGATCGTTTTGAAAAGAAATAAAAAAAGCAAGCCAGTTGGTCGAATGCTTGATACAACGCGAATCCACATCCATCCCCTACACACACACTCTCTCTCTCCCTTGGGGAAAAAAAAAAAAAAGAGTGTCGCTTTCGAAGAATAAAGAAATCGTATCAAATTCGAACGGAACAATATAAATTTAATATACTTTTGCTTTGGAAACGGAACAAAGAGGATGGAATGTGAAATAAGAGGAGCGAAATAAAAGGAAGGGGGCATGTGGGTGATTAATGCGGAAAATTACATTCGGAGTTTAATGTCATATACATACATATATATATATATATGCACATGTACATATATGGTCCCTTTCTGTAGACGACGTCTCTTTCATCATATGCATATAATTCTCAACCAATGTTCTGTCCGTCGTTTTTTTAAATTAATATATGGACAGTTGTGAAGGTTCAATGCGTCGCTTTCGCATAAATTTATAGCAATTCCCGAGTAATTTGGTCCTTCCACATGGAGTATATATATTAACGTCTGAATTTGTGATATATATAAATATATCATATATGGTGCATGGTAATTGTCAATTCAGAGAACAAGTTTTGGCGATTTTGTTCTGTATGTGCTAATATTTGTCACTTTTTTTTTTTGTTATGCTATAAAATATGTCCACGTAATTGCATGAATATTGATGGTTATCAGGGAAATATTCAATTTGTAGACACGACTCACTATCATTATAGAATGTGATATTTAGGCAATCATCATAAACCTTTACGTGTTTTTTTTTGTTTGTAAATGTAAATAAGGGATAGGAAAAACATATACGTGAGAAAATAAATTGGAAATTACATGTAAAATTCGATACTCTACATTTATATAATGGTGAGTGTGGTGGTAGCTTACAACACAAAATTTTCCTTACCATCCCAAAAGTAGAAAGCCCTTCTCTCGTCGGTCTGATCTATATTTGTTACCGTTTTTTTGTTTGGCGAATTCATTCTCTACACAAACAAACAATGGCTCACGCGCTCCAAAAGGTTGGGTGTGTATCCTCATCAAGGGCATCTAGGGTTCTTGCCAGGACCACCGTAGTAAAAATAGTTACCCCAGACACGATTGACACCACCTCTGATGTCGTAACAATTGGGATGGTCAGCCACGACATGGAGGTTGGAGAAAGGGAGGAGAGAGTTGTCCCAATCCACCATTTCAAGATTGCGGAAATAAGAGGAGCGAGCGAACCCTTCTCCGGCTAAGTGGCCACTTCCCATTTGTGTGGAAGTGTGGGATCCACTGGGACGAGAGTTGACGACCTCCCCGCCGAATTGGAGCATAGTGGCGTGGCTCCTCAGATGCGTGAACAAGAATGCCGGCCAATACCCTACCAGTGTCCCCTTCCCGAATTGCAGCCACCAGTTCCCATGCTTCGGATCCTACATTCATTTCATATTTTGTCCTTAATACACTCACGCATGCTTTTCTTATGATCATCCATTTCCACTAGATATCTTATTATCATGCATCTATATGTGTATATTCCTAACTATAAAAAGTGAAACTTTTTTTGTATCCTTTTTGTATATAAAGTTATTGATGGTCGAATTCTATATCTAAGTTTCATGAGAAGCTCAATTGACCAAGTCTATCTGCCGGATTATACTCACAGCTACAAGAAAGAAAATGGTCGACTCAAATATTTTCCGGTATTTTTTTTTCCTGGGGGGGGGGGTCAAACATACACTTATATATATATATATAATTAGATAAGCTTGAAGTTATAGGAATAAATAAAACATTTTATAGACGTGGGGGAAGGTTGGTTGATGATGACAAGCCATGTGCATAGAATGTGGTCAGGGCTGATCGATGTTAATTTTAATTTAGTGGCAACAATATTTGTTAGTAATTAAACATTTAGGAGACATTTCCACCAAATTAATATTGATGTGCAATGCAATGATTGCTAGGCACTTGCGTACTCGCTCTTAATTTGAGAAAAATAATTGGAAATTGGAAGAGAACATACCTTCCAAATCAATAAGCTGATATCGAACTGTCCACCTTTATAGGACGAGACCGGGGAAATTGCGGCTCCTATCGCAATGCGGCTGTTCGTTTGGACAAAACCCGAACACAGCAAATTGTAGCATCCCGTCGTCTGGTATGCGTCCGACTGAACCAAATCACCACTTCCTTAGATTAGTCTTAATATCATTCAGTCATGATTATGTTGGAAGGAAACAAACAAATAATAATAATAATTACCGTCCAATAGGTGAAGAATCTGGGATATGTGTCCCCATATAGCTCCGGACTAACCTGTTTGGATAAAATTTTTAAAAAAAAACCAATACGTAAAAAAGGTCATATCTGCAGGAGTCGTACATCTTTCTATGGGGATCAAGCACAATACATTACGCATAAATGAAATGCCACTATCTTGAGCTGATGTTAGTAATAATATGAGAAAGGGAAGCTGAGAGGAGTGACCTGCCAGCCAGCTTCGATGGTGTTGAGATCGTTATTGAAAGAGCCGGCGATGACCCACATCTGAGACAAGCTGAACTCGTACTGGCTCACGACACGTGGTGACCACACGTTCACACTTGCTTTCGCTCCGTAGTATTCTGCTCCTGATACGTACCCCACCGCATGCTATCACAACCATTTCACGGATATTACCCTCTCAGTTTTTTTCCCTTTCTTGTATATTTAAAAATCTAGTGAAAAGAATGAAGAAGAGCAATTTAAAAATGCTTATGTTTTTTTTTCCTGACAGTGGATGCAAAGATTTGCGAGAAAGCTGGTTTTTGGTATCATGCTCTAACTCCTTTTTTTTTTCACAACCCCCAAAAAAAAAAGGGGGAAAGCAAGAACTGTTTGCACAAGTAAACAGGAAAACGATTTAATCATTCTTGTCATCTGTCAAACTGAAGTAAAAGAATGGGTGAATCCTGTTTTAAAAGCTTTTAGTTTGTATCAATATAATACCTTTTTTTAAGGGCACAACTTTATATGAGAATATTTTTTTCATTGTCAAACGTGTAACGTAAAATTCTTTAAAAAGTCTAACTACCTATTAATTCATTTTTTCGAATCGAATACTGTTTCATCATTTAAAAAAAAAAAAGAATAATAGATTCATTTTCTTTATCTTAAAAGTAAATTACTTGTTTTTTTAATGCAAACCTTGTAGCCAGATTTTTTTTAATCCCTTCACAAGTAAATAAAATACCCGGCTTTGTAAAAAAAAGAAGAGGAGGAGAAAGATAGGAGGCTGTGTTTCTTTATCGGGTTACGGGTAAAAGAAGGGAATGGTACGTACTTCATGGCCGTTGCTAGTGGAATCTCTTCGGACGCGTCTGATTTTCCGACCAAATCTACGGAGGGAAGATGATCGTAACATGTCCTCCTCCTCCGTTCTTCTGATCGGAACCGTTCCTTCAGGGCACGATTCTCCAGATACACTCCACCTCTGGAAATTCTCAGACATCTCTTCTTCTTTGATATACCCTTTCGGCATCTCCGGTGGTTCCTATTCATGTTTTCGCAGTTTCAAACAAATTGGGTTTGTAAATTGAATTCTTGAGGTTAATTCTATGTATAGAAAAACAGTCAGGAAAATACAAGGCATGTACCATTGGTCTCTGTCCTCGTAATTGGGGATGATCGAACGCAGGTTGCTGGTGAGACAACACGCAGTCTATTACATCACCATCTGGGCTCTGCAGTGCACCCACATACGAACATAACTCAACAGAGAAACCACCTTAATGCGGAGAGAGACAGAGAACAGAGCATATATATATGGCATGCAAGCCCATCCGTTTTTTAATTGCTCCGGACATCTTGTGAGATTAGGGTTATGGTTCAGTTCACATATATATACAGGATTGCATTCGGTCAATGGATCATTTTTCCAAAAAAAAAAAAAAGGGAAAAAGGAAAGGCCATGATTATACAAAAAAGAAAGAGGTAGGAGTGGGAATCTTGCCTGAATGGTCTTGACGGCGGGCTTATTGATCTTCAGAAGGTGTTTTCTTATGAGTTTGAGCTTCCTAAGCTCATCTTGCGGCCGGAGAGTCTGATTAGCGGCGGAGGAGACAGAGACGAGACAGAGGAACAGAATGGAGCTGATGATCAAACTAGAGGCCATGTGTACGGAATCTCCCCGTAGTCTTCTTGTATTGTCTGAATCTTGCGTTAAAGTTCGAACACATCTGGGGTGCCGTTGTTTTCGTCTTGTGAGATCCAGAGAACAACATTTATTGCAGTTTCCTCTTGTTGTTGTTGCTCTTGAAACCACTGACACATCTCCCAACGAACCCATTAAACACATAATCGCTTCTCTAAGAAACCCCGAACCCACGAACCCAAGGAAAAAAGAATTGAATCTGGCTTTGTGTGTTTCGAAAGTTACGGGCATGTGGGTGCGGTGTTATAAATACCGGGTAGCGATGACATCATCATGTAATGTGTTTTAAGGTTTTATTTTGGTAAATTATGGGTTTAGTGGTTTAAGGAATTTCAAAGGATGGGAGAGAGAGAGAGAGAGACTTTTATTATATTTGGGAGAAAAATGAGAAAGGGTATTTATAAGGGATTTCTCTCATGCGTTCGGCTTTGATGATTGGGGTCGGTCACATTCACATACGAATTCGTAACACTTGGGTTTTCCGAAGGTTGTTCGCTTTCTTCTCCAAAATTATTGGTACAAGTAGTAAAACAGGAAAAGGGGAGAATCGAGGGTATGCATAGATATAATGATATAATGTCTCAAAAAATGAGGAAATGGTAGAGCAAAGCATGGAGGAGACATAAAAATGTTGATTGAGTTTCATTATGATGAAAGGAATGGCCAAACAATTCCTTTTAGTTTTGGTTAATTGCATTGACTCTATGAACTTGTTGTGTGGCCAAATAATTCCATTCTTGCTTGTTAGAAGCGACATGGACGGTTTACATGTTGGATTGAACCAGAACTTGGCTTGTACATGGAACTCAGAGGGATCAATAATCGGAAAGATATGAGAATTCGGATTCAAGAGGGGGAGAAAAAGAGGTCAAAGGGGTATTAAGTGGGTGGGGACAGACGGAATAGACGATGATTGTGGTTGTGAGTCTCCATTATCCTTAATGCCCAATTTCTGAGTAAACGTGGGTTCTCTATACAAATCTCAGGACCCCCCATTTGACCACACCTTATGGCTGAGTTTCACGCTCCTCTCCCCCCTTGTTAATGCAGGGAAGCGGACAATTATCTCCAATTATTCAGAGACCCTTCGTCTCAAACGCATCCGTACACTAACACCTACGTACATGTTCTGATTATGATTGTATGTAGAGAAAATTTAGATTCCAATGTAAACGAATATTGGGAAAAGAAACCGCATAGTAAGGATAAGATGTTCTTAAAGATTTGTGGAATGGATTCCTCTGTCAACTAAAAGCTCAAAAACATGGTTCATATGAAATCGTCTGAGAAAAAAAACAATATATAATAATATGAACAAGTGGGATATAATTTTCTTTTAATTCACTACCACGCAAGTGTAGCATCCATATATTTATCAAAGCTATGTATATATTCACATACATACAATGTCTAGATGCTTCATTGCCTGCTTTCATAAAGTTAACCACTCCTCATTATACCTAGTCATGCTGCTCTGCGTTTCAGCATCATCATATATAATTTCCAATGCCATTGTTAAGATGTGGGGAAAAAAAAAAAGAGTGCATAAAACAAAAAACCAGTAGAATTCAAAAGGAAATTATATATAATATATATTTTCTTACAAGAGAAAGAGAGGAAAAAGTGAAGGGAGCAAAAGGGGGATTCTTTAGAGCATGCAACAGTTTGATGCCGGAGCAATGATGCTGTCTAAAGCCGGACCATGCTCCGCTTTCATTCCCTTTGGTTACATATATTACTCTTTTTCACTAATTAATCCAAAGCTGAACAATAACAAACATCATTACGTATTTGCTCCAATTAATGCATTCTCAAGTAATACCGTGATATATATATATATGTACGTTGGGGGAATTTAGGGCATGATTAGTAATCATTAAAGAGAAGGATGTCTCGCATAGATATAGCGGCGTGAAATATTAGACGGATATGTTCCGACTATGCGCTTCATTAAGGCTACATCATCATCATTTTCTTCATTATTATTACCCATATCAAACCGCGACATTATACTCTGTTCAAATACCCCCCCAAAAAAAGAAATGAGGTAATTGATTCATCTCTACTAGGGTTTACCGGCAAAAAAACGATAAATTTATAATCTGTTGGGGTGATATTAATTTGTTTAATTAAATCTAGATATGGGGCCATATCTTCTTCTTTGCTCAACAAATATATATATACACACGCCCCTCGAGATGCATGAACAGAAAACGGTGAATAAGGCCAAGTGGGCTGATCTCTATCCATCAGTCCAGTTTCTTCCAGCAATCCGAATTTTATGGGCCATTTAACCCAAACTCTCTTCTTGTATGAGAGGGAGGGATTCAGACTTCATAAAAGATAACAGAAGTAGGCGTGTCTGAAACTAGAACCCGGTGTCCAAACATTAACTTAACTACATACATGGAACGTCCCCTGTCTCTCTCCTTCCTTTTTTGTAGTTTTTTCTCTCTCTCTTCGATCAGATAAAGAACAGCAAATAAATACAGCAAAAAAGAAAAAACATTACAAAAGAATCAATCTCAAGTGATCCATTTATATATATATATATATATATATATAAAAAGCAAACGTTTTTGTTGTATATATCTTCTCGCCGGTGTGGTTAGTGGGGGAGAAGAGTGGAGAGGGACAAGCAGTTATCGGCCATCTGTCTCAAAAGCCGAGCAGACTTGGCGATGGGGTCGGAGGAGGAGGGAGAGCCTTCCTCCAAGGCATCGATGCAGGTCTCGAAATCAGTCAAAGCGGCACTGAGGTTGATGTTGAGGCTAAAACCGTCGTTCTCTTTGATGTTCTTCAGAGACTTCTGGAGGTTGTCAATGGCGCTGTCGAAGTTGGAGAAGCAAGTGTCGTCCTTCCCCTTCTTTGCTTTCGCCTTCGCCTTTTGCGTCAGCGGTAGCAGAGCTTTGATCGCCGCCGCCGTCGCTGCGCTAGGTTTCTTCACCCCCTTCACCACCGACTTGCACAGCACGGGGAAGTCCGTGGTCGAGCATGGATCTCCGGCCACTGGACGGCCGGAGGCATCTGCCACGGCCACGACGAGGAGGAGGAGGACAGCTGCCATCAGGGGCATGAAATTACGAGCCATTTTTGCTAACGGAGACGGAGATCACGTACGTAAACGTATATATGTGTTGTATATATACGTTTAGGCGTGTGAGACGTTTTGTTGTCTTGTGGGTTTGAACACCGGGCTCTGGTTGAGGATTGATTGGAACAACGGAGATGGATGTGTGGTTTTTTTATATGCATTCCTCACATATTTTGTTTATTTTTGGTAATTTACTGTCTAATTTATCACCGTTGCTGATTTGGTTACAGATTTAGTTTCTTCTGCTCCTTAAAAAAAGGGTTTGTTTTTTTTTTCTTCTTCTTATTTTTATTTTGGGGAAACGCGGGTTTTTGTTTTTGTTTGTGTGTGGTCGTTTGTTCTCTTTGTTTTTCTGCCATATGATGTGATAACAGACTTGATCACATGAAGCGTGGCAAGGTTTATATGGTTGGTTTTGTATTCAAAATTTCCATTAAATATAAATACTAGCTTGATAATCTATTTCAAATGGTACATTATCCAATTATTTTTACTAAAACCCGGATCCTGCCTGCCTGTCTATGAAAGGTTGAGGCTTGAGGGATTGTTTTGGGCTTAGGAAAGCTTTGTTTAGAAGATGGGTTTTAGTTTCTATTATGAGCCTTTTGGGCTTTTAGTTGATGCTATATAGGATAGTTTAGAAAACCCATTTCATATGTTCCGGCCCTGATGACCCATCCACCTAAAAACAAAACTAGACTTTGTTAGGGGAAAAAAAAGAGAGAGAGTGAAATCGAATGCATAATTGATAATTATCGTCAATCTACTAGAATTTTTTTTAAGAGAAATGAAACAAAAAGAGCGAGTTACCCCGTAAGGCCCGTAGTTAATAAAAAAATAAAAGTTATGGCATTGGTCTTATAAGTTGAATGGGTTTTGGACACTTTATATAAATAAATAAATCAAGTGGCCAAGAATTTCCGGCATTAAAGAGGGACGGCGGTCCAACCCAACCACTACGACGTGACGTTGACGAAGACTTGTTAAGAGAGCGTATTTATTTTGATTCACCAATTTATTCATATTAAGTTATTAACATTCGTTTTCCAAATTCCACTTCCCGAATGACGTTTAAAAAGTAATTCCGACAAAATTGGGGCTAACGAATGAAATCGTCAAATGCTCTGTCCAAAAAACAAACAAACAAAAGATAGCACCAGTCTCGGGGTGTGAACTGAGGAACCTTCCATGCTCTTCCTCAATTCCTTTATTGACTTTGAACAGCGATCCAACCAAGTCATGCTTTGAGGTCAAAGCTGTTGAAACTTCTCTGGTCAGGACCCTCGATCTGAGTAACTCCATCATTGGACGAGAAAGGATTGATCACAATTCATTCCCTTTTCCTCCTTGGATGTTTTCATCAATTGCCCCATCTTTCTCTCGTAATTGATCGCCAGACAGAACCCACAACTCAATCCAGCTTCAGAAGATGAAGCAATCACAGACAAATCTCTGTCTTCTATGCCTTGCAATAGCTGCGATTGCATCATTCCAAACCATCTCAGGCGACGCAAGGGCTCGCGCCATTCAGATCACGTGCACACCTCTTCCCGAGCACAACGATACCGTTTTCGTCCCCAACTTCGTGGCCACCATGGAGAAAATCAGCCAGCAAGTGCAGACTGCTGGGTTCGGAGTAGCCGTCACGGGCTCGGGACCGGACGCCAATTACGGACTTGCTCAGTGCTATGGCGATCTGTCTTTGAACGATTGTGTCCTTTGCTACGCAGAGGCACGCACCATTCTTCCCAAGTGTTACCCCAACAATGGCGGAAGGATTTTCCTCGACGGCTGCTTCATGAGGTCAGAGAATTACAGCTTCTACTCGGAATTCCGTGGGCCACCTGATACTCTTGTATGCGGCAACACTACCAGAAAGAATGCCACTTTCGGTGGTTCCGCAAGGGAAGCCATGGCAAATGCTGTTGCCTCTGCCCCCCTGAATGGAGGGTATGCCCGTGCTTCGGCTGGTGAATCTGCGCATGTGTTGGTGAATTGCTGGAGGACGTTGAGCCAAGATTCTTGCAGGGCTTGCTTGGAAAACGCGTCTGCTTCTCTTCTCACCGGGTGCTTGCCTTGGTCTGAGGGACGTGCCCTCTACACTGGCTGTTTTCTGAGGTACTCTGATCAAGATTTCCTTAACAAGGAACCGAGAAACGGGAGATCCAGAGGTGACAAAATGAACATATGACTCTAGCTTCCTTATGCAACCTCTAACCCCAACTTGCTACTAATCATTCACTGACCAATGGCTTTGCAGGCTCAGTAATAGTGATAATCGTTTCAGTCATTAGTTCTGTTGTTGTCTTCTTGGTCGGAACCGCTATTGGAATTTATATCTGCAAACACAGAAACATACAAAAGAAGAGAAGAGGTCAGTGATAGTGATTTCCCTCCGATGAATCCTTGAAGAAGAGCTGCATTTGTGTGTTTACCTTAGATTTTTGGTGCATTTTCAGGATCAAATGATGCAAAAAAACTAGCAAAAACCCTGAACGACAGTAGTCTGAACTTCAAGTACTCTACATTGGAGAAGGCCACGGGCTCTTTTGATAGTGCGAACAAGCTTGGACAAGGTGGATTTGGAACTGTTTATAAGGTAAGATCATAATTTACTCTGTATCTGTCTGGTTATCAAGCAGGATTATCAAACTGAGCCTTTGAAATTCCATTGATCTTAGGGGGTTCTCCCGGACGGAAGAGAGATAGCAGTGAAACGCCTATTCTTCAACAACAGACACAGAGCAGCAGATTTCTATAATGAAGTCAACATTATTAGCACTGTGGAACACAAGAACCTGGTAAGGCTGCTGGGTTGCAGCTGCTCTGGACCAGAAAGCCTCCTCGTCTACGAGTTCCTCCCGAACAAGAGCCTTGATCGTTTCATCTTCGGTAACAAAACCTAATACAGAATGACAAAGTTCATTCGAATCCTGTGTCAAGAATTAGCCTCTGAATGATCTCTTTGCCTAAAGCAGATACAGAGAGGGGCAAAATACTCAACTGGCATAGAAGATTCACAATCATTGTTGGGACTGCTGAGGGTTTGGTGTATCTGCACGAGCAGTCAAGCGTGAGAATCATTCACAGGGACATAAAATCTAGCAATATCTTACTAGACTCAAAGCTTCAAGCAAAAATCGCTGACTTTGGCCTCGCCCGATCCTTCCAAGAGGATAAAAGTCATATCAGCACAGCAATTGCAGGAACCCTGTGAGTATATTCTGAAAAATAGCATGGAGCTGCAACTTCTTGTTAGAGGAGGCCTATGCAACTATTTTCCTTTCCCTTAGTGTTCTGTTTGCATGAATTATTGAACCGTGTATATTTCCAAATTTGAAAATCTCCAGAGGTTATATGGCTCCAGAGTACTTGGCCCATGGTCAGCTCACGGAGAAGGCAGATGTATACAGCTTTGGCGTTCTCGTGTTAGAGACCGTAACAGGAAAACAAAACACCAGAAGCAAAATCTCAGATTACACAGACAGTTTAATCACAGAAGTAAGTACTCATAACCATAGGAAGAATCTGAAATGGACACCAAACTTCACCGCTTCTGATCCTAACCAGTGTCCTTGCCTTTTGTGGTTGAACAAATAAAAAACAGGCATGGAAGCATTTTCAAACAGGGACAATGGAGGAAATATATGATCCAAACCTGATGTTGCAGAATCAGCCTGAGGGCAGCAGCGTCAAGAACGAAATACTGAGGGTTGTCCATATAGGGCTCTTGTGCACTCAGGAGATCTCATCACTGAGACCATCAATGTCAAAGGCATTACAGATGCTAAGGAACAAAGTGGAAAACCTGCCATTGCCGGGTAATCCCCCATTTATGGATGAGCGAATCATGGAACTTCATGATACCTTCGATGGGGACTCAGCTGCATGTGCATCACTTGCCACTGTCTCACACAGTTCCTTCTATGGTAGATGATCTTGGAGAAGAACAAAGAATAAGGAAGTATTTCGGAGCACAAACAAAATTTTGTAGATATCCTGGTGAGAGTAACAAGTCAATAGGTGTGATAATAGAATAATGTATATGGTATGAAGATGTTCCAATATATTGGCTTTTGTACTGATATACAAGAAACGGAAAAGAGGCGAATCCTTTACATCTGTAATTCAGTCAAGAGAGAAGTTTTCTCAGAATGTAGACAAAAATAATGATTGTATTACATAAGCAAGACGAGGGGAAAAAAGGGTAGTAAGCTAGCGCATGGCAACCAAATTCCCCATGAGGCCACCACTGACCTCATAATGCTTGGCGCTGGAGAAGCCAGCTTGCAGTGCGAGAGTCTCCAGCTCTTCTCCTGCACACGTTAGATTTAAGTTCGGACCATCTCATCAAAAGGAGCAATAGAATAAGCTCTTCCAAAACGACTATATCTGAATGTCAAAGTTTGCTCAAGTTCAAATCTTTACAGTGGGGGAAATGCAATGCAACACAACTTTGTGTCAAAGCAAAAGCCCGTATGTTGTCCAGAGAGAACAAACCAGTTAAGTATCCATTGATTGAACTCTTCAGATATTCGTAATCACTTGCAAGACCATAAACCGCAGCTGCCGGGACAACAACATTGTTGATCATCCATTCCTTGCAAAAGCAGAGCAGCTACTTATTTTCATGATACTAAAGTATATTTAATCAGCATCATAGAAATCATAATGTGCGACAGAAAATGGAAAAGTGCTTCCCAGCAGAAGACGAATACCTGAATAAACGCGGTGACTGGTTGGTGGCTCTTATTGAAATCAAGAATCGATATTCTCGAATCTGAAACAGATACAAGACAACTGAAAAAATTAACACAAATCATGTTTTGACGGTAAGCCCCGGGAGACAACCAGTTTCCAACGGAACTCGATAGCTTAATTACAGCACGACACCTGGTTTCAGAACTCGATACATCTCCCGCATGGCTCTCTGTCTGTCAAAAACATTTCTGAGGCCATAACCCATCGTAATAGCATCAAACACACCATCAGCAAATGGCAGTTCAAGGGCATCACCTTCTACCCACCTAGAAAGAAATGCAATTGTTAACTCAACTCAAGTGGCCAATATGAATATCAACAAACAATCACACGCATGCTTTTACCGGGGCTCACTCTATATTCTTGTAGCACGGCTTTGCTCGAAGGTTCTGCCGAGAAGACGCAATAGCTAATTGTTCCGAGGAGAAATCCAGACCAACCACCTGCACAAAGTTATCAAACGTGTATTCCACGATCCCGACACAGTTAACACCATATTCAAACACCAAAAGGCAAAACAATAAGCACATTCACTAATGGTTATGGGGACAAGAGATAAGGCAGAGACATCAACACAAACCTTTCCAGATGACCCAACTTTCTCCGACAAGAGAAACGCCAAATCCCCGCTGCCACAGCACAAATCCAGAACGAAGTCTCCTCTATTCGCTCTGTTTCATTTCAAAACATCAAAGCCAGTGAAAGCAAGAGGAACAAACACATATAGACACGACAACATTAGCCTCACCCGCTCCACGAGACAGCCATTCGTTTCCAAACACGATGCTGACCGAAGCTCAATAGATCATTTAACTGAGGAATTGAAAGCAATGACAGAAAAACCTTGTCGGAAAACCATGAAAGGGAGAAAGGAGAAAACCGACGAACGCGAGGAAAAACAAAGGGCAAACATTGTCGTAGACAGGAGCAATGCGGTTGAAGAGATCCTGCCGCTCCCCAGAGCATCTAACCGCCGGTCTCGGTCGCGGACAGTAATCAACCGGTAGTCGGCCGGAGAAGGAACCGGGAAAGGCGAGGCAGAGAGAAGGCATTGTTGTGCTTGGTCACTTGGTTAAAAAGATCAAATGGTTATCTGACGCGAGGTGAGTAAAAAACCTGCCTTTAGCGGTACAATGGACCATATTCGACCCAAGGCCCAATTTGTGACAAAGACAAGTGATGTTATTAATGGTAGCCAGTTTTTAAGGGCCGGGTTTGGAGCACATCTAACCAGATTTTGAGGCCCAAATAGATACATTACGAGAGAATCCACAATGGCATTTGGCATCGACATAAAACATTTGCATAATTTTATTGCCCGATCAAACATTTTCTAAATAAGATTTAACACAAACACAAAGGCCAATTCCGATTCCCTCGCACAGAAAGGGTGACAATTAGGCTTAGGCGTGTCCCTGGTCCGTGCATCTACCAGGAAATCCATTGGCAATGACACCCCATATGCCAAATCCTATTTCCCTTTTGCCAGAGCGTTGCAAAAATATACAACAAAGGTCTAACACAAATCTGTTTTTTTTTCTTTTATATAATATCGGCGACCGTCTTCTGTGTTATTCATCGTTAAAGAAAGGTCCACTAGAATCGTCCATCATCATGAAGGGCATGTTCTCCGATGGCTTCCAATGGCGTTTCCTCTGGTTTATAAACCAGTTGTTGATTTGTTTCTGGTCTAACCCCGTCGCTTCAGCCAGAGCAATCTTATCTCCTTCCTGCATTTATATACATACATATGGTAACAGAGAGGCGAAAACATGATCGTTAGGAATAGAATCAGCCAAGTTTAGAAAACAAGCCAAGCCACACATGCCAAAGTGTCCAAGATACTTGGCATGCGTTCCAATGGTCTCCAAAAATATGTGATTTATCAAGTGTCTATTCAAACCATCCTCCTTAACTTTTGTTAGCCTTTAAGGGGTTTGGGATATATGTAACTTGTTTGGGAAGGAAATGCAGAAGCAACTCTTTCTCATTTTTCCCCCCTCGCATGCTATCTTTTCTCTCTTTATTATCCCGGGCTTTCTCAGCTTCCAACCAGAGTAAGCAGTAGACATCACATGGAATGGAACTACTTACAGTAGGGTAAGGCCACTTGTAATGTAGATTCCACCACTCGAGGAGGGCTTGTCTTGCATCCCTGGGTAACTTACCTTTCTTCTTCTTCTTAGAGAACTCGAGCTTCAAGGAAGTGATACGGCCACCAAACCTACGCATAAGCCGGTCCTTGAGATCCCTGTCCTCAGCCTTCGATAGACCGTCTTGTGGGATCTCTCCTCCTCTGAGTTCCTCGTCGGATGAAGCCGCACCATCATCTGTTCACACATGGATTTGGATCGGGGTAAGTGAGTTGGTTGGATTTTGTAGGCAGGTCAGATTGGTATATATATGAAGCGACAGCATGAAAAATGCCATCTCTAACAAACAATGGGAGAGTATAAAACCCCACATGAAATGCAGAGTCAAAGGCATGCATGTAGATGTTATGGAAATACAATGGGAGGGTAAATATGTTGTCGCAATAAATTGTCAAGAAGTCGAAACCATCGAATTAGTGAGCAAGCAAACAGACAAGATAAAAAGCATTAAATTTAAGCGGCTCAGCGGAGAGGAGAACGGCCAAAAGCCCGAGGGGAGTGGTAGGCAGGCGTGCCACAGGGAAAAGCAGAGACTGAGAAAACTCCCTCTCACGCACCCGGAGAGAGAAACACACACACACTGGGGTAAGGGGAGAAGTGAACGCCGCAGTGAATAGAGTTGCGTCCAATCCAAATGAGAGAGATCCACTTGAATCGCGACACGTGTACCCCTACGAGAACTCCCGCAAACAACGCTTCACCGCACACAGACACACACATGACACTGACCCCATTTACTGCTCCTCCAATCTTCCATAATTATGATGACCCCCTCTATCCCCATACACCCACTTTTTACTATAGGAGGGTCCCTCCTCCTCTGCTAAATAACATTTATCCAAGCCCAACCCCCCCCCAAAAAAAAAAAAAACGACTCCATGCAAAATACGAAGGAAATGGTAACATCAGACATAATTGAACCATTAAAAGGAAAAAATGAAGCAGCAGGCTAATTGAAGAAAGGAGACTGAATAATTTTTGCAATTCGTATCAGGAATTGGTTTAGTAAAGACGTGTTTGACTGAACCAGATGTTGAAACCTAAGAGGGACCAAGCAATGGAAAATAAGGGGGACACGTGCAGTAAGTATGGCCCAAAAAGGTAAGAAGACCCACCAAGGGAACAATGGTACCAAAGGAAATGACAACCGCTAAACAACAAGAGAGAAAGAGAGAGGCCCACTGTCTCGTTTCCTTTTTAATGAAAAAACCTTAAGAGAGAAGAAGGGCTCCACCACCGGAATCCACGGGAGTCCATGTGATGCCCGACCACCCGCTGTACCCGGGACTTCAACACTCCCTCGCTTTTTCTCCCCCCAAAACAAAAAATAAAAAACTAAAAAGTAAAAGAAAACTCCTATTTTACACTTCAATTTGGATTGAAAAGGCCTTCTACAAGCCGAAATAAATCGTTACAGTTTGCGAATTACTTGGATGTAGTTTTACAACAAGACGAGGATTTCGTTTATCAGTTTGAAACCAAAAATATATCCTCGAATACGGTAATATCCGAAAAGATCTAGCACAGTACGTCACCTCTGCTACTGGGACTCAATATTCTAACTAACGTGTTATGGCACAATCAACCCTAATGATAAGACATGCTAAAAGGAACTAGTAGATTCTAATTTACCGTCTAAACTTGTATTACACGTTGGGTAAAAAAAATTAATCAGAGATTTCTATGCGTAGCATATACACTTCGTATAGGGTAATTAGGACAAAGCATCACAAAGAAAGATAGACTATATTATTCTCTCAGCTTGAAAAAAAGAAATAAGTGAGAAAATGGAGGAATGAAAATTCATAGTTTAAAGAACAACAAGGGTAGTGTGACGAGGATTGGTTAGTAGCATAAAGCAGATTAGCACGAAAAAGAACCAAAGCATGTGACTTCAAGAGTTGGTGGATGGATTGGCGGCAATGGCCACATGTGAAACGAATCGACAATCCAGAGTGTTTTTAAATTAGTTTTTATGATTCATCCAGGTGAAATAAACTCAGTCATCATCCAGTTGAACGAGAAAGAAGAGATAATATCAACCAAAAGGCAAGTTGTACTTTGGAAACACTTATTAAAAAGAAAAGAATTAATAACACAAACCTCGCCCACCATAGACAGACAACCTGAACTGCAGTGATCTATTTTTAAACTTTTCTGTTTGATTCCCAATGCAAACTCCAATTAAAGTAATGCGCAGATGTGTTAACACGACATTCGCTTCCTTGAAGCATTAGCAACTACTTTTCCACATTAAAAAACATTAACAAGTACAATTCTAAACTGCACCCAAAATCTATGATATATAACCTGAAACTCTGAAAGCCCACCACTTGCCCTTGAGTTCTATTTCTTTCCAGCTTAGCTTTTTCAGGTGGAGATGAAGAATAAATAAATAATGTAGATCCATATCAGTTGTGGATGATTATTTTTGCTACCCATGTTTTTTCTCCGTTAGTTTTCTTACAAGTGTACTTTTTGCCCTGAGTGTTAGACAAGGTTCATGCAAAGTGTGTCTGTCACATAGATACCATGTAAATCTCAGACATCATTATGTCTGTGGAAATTAACTCACCGTAATAGAATCTAATGATAAACCAAAATTCCCTAAGTCAATATGATTCTTCACCAAGCAAATCTTAATTAACTTCTTTATTCCAGCTACTTACCAAAAAGCTTCTGTGAAGAAGGAAGAGTTTCTTGTGTTAAGAATAACTAAAAAGCAATCCAATGAATCCAAGTTCCACCAACCTAACAAGGCATTTCGCATTTATCTACAATCATAGTACACTATCGGAAAGGGTAAATTCCAGGAAACAAACAAGAATTGGTTGCTTTCGTTTTGTTACTCATCCAACGCAAGAAGACAATAGACTTAAAACCAAATACATGCAGATACGACCACGCGCTTGGCCGTCAAACTATTTTCAGTGCTTAACCCTAACTCCATGTGTCTGTTTCAACCACAGGTGCTCAAAGTATTGGAACTTGAGATCCGTTAAACTAAGATTTTTTCAAGCTTTATGTAAAAACAACAAACCCCATAATTGTGACCTCGTTAATTCTTTCACCTAATAGTTTCCTTCCACACATGCAATATGGTAGTATATTAGAATACTAAGATAGAACCCGATCTTATACAACAGACAGAAAATCCAAATTTTGACTCAAGTATGGGGTGGGAAGAGACAAGCTTGAAACACAAGACTTAGCTCCAAGCAAAATCAAAATTTATCAAATTTATAGCTGAAAAAGATATGGAATGGACTAAGAACTCTATCTTATCCGGATTCCACTTGGGATCCTAAGAGAGGAATTAGTGCTTTGGTCATTGGTTAAAAACAAACTCAAGATTGAATGGTTCAACAGGTAAGGAAAAGAGAAAAACTCTTTTCCAATCCGGATTGGAGTCCTCACGAGAGGGGTATTCACATAGGCTTCCCCGATCTTCTGGAAAATAGAGCCGGACAAAAGACCGGTGAACTTTCAGATTATAAAAAAAAACAAATTATAAACATAAACAAGATTGCACTCCTTAGATTTGATTAAAACAACTAGTAGTAGCTTAAGAAAACCACGATGTCATTTTACTGTTACAAGTTATGACTAGGTTTCTCTACTCCATTAGAAGAATCAATGGTAAAAACTATTCAGCACGCCTCAGGCACTGAAACGTCAAAATCAGAATCTCTAACACAAGTTCTTTTAATAACAAAGCCTATTTTCTTTTCTGACGCAAGGAAGAGAGAAAAAGATGAAATACAGGTATACAGTAACAAAGAATGACACCACAAGATCACCAGGAAAAATGCAAGCAGAGGAAGCCCACTCACCCGCCCCCACAGCTAAAACATTAAATGAAGAGGAAAATAATGGTACAACACTATTCCAAGGTCATGGATCCATCTCTAAGCATGACCTCAGTTTTTTTTCCCAGAAATCAATATAGGCAAGCAAATAGCAAACAAGGATATTTTCAGGCCTCAGTTAAAACAAAAAAACACTACAAAACCAGTAAAGGAGAGACAGAAATATGTGATTGAAGCCATCTCACCTCTCCTCGAACTAGGGTTTTTATATTTCTTTCCTAATTATTTTTCCCGCTGTTTTTTTCTTTTCCTTGATTAGCTTTCGTCAGTGAGATCTGTTTCTTTTTCTTTTCCTCTTCGATGTTTTTATTTTATTTTTGGTTAGTGAGGTAGTAATTTAACAAATGATTACAAGAAGCTTCGATAAAAAGTTTTCAATTAATCAAAGAGCCCCAAAAGAGATTAAACAAGGGCAAGTTCTGGGGAGAGATCGTGGTTTCCCCCGATTTGTGAGGTGAAATTAGAGGAAGGATTATGCAGACACAGAGATCGAGGAAAAGATATAAAACAGCACAAACAACAAGAAAACCACTACGAAACTGGAAAACGAACAGACAACAAATTAATGGCGAAGCGGAAAGAGAGATTTAGGACTGACCCGAAAGGGCTCTAGTAGACGCCCCAGCGGTGAGAAGGTTGCGGAGCTGCATTTCCATCTTGTTCAAGAAGTCCGTAGCCTCGTCGAACGGCCTCGCCAGATCGGATTTGTATTTCACCAATATGTCGCAGTAAGTTTCCTAAAATCACACCGCAAAAAATTCACAAAGCAAAAGAAAAAAAACACGAAATGAAAGACCGAGAACGAGAAAGACAAAGGTAGATATAGCAGGAGAGTACCATGAATTCATCAAGCTCGGGATCAGCTCCCAAGCAAGAAGAGGGAGCAACCTCTTGCTTGAACACATCGCTCTCCTTCTGAATCTCGTCCAACAATCCCGCGATCTCCGGAGGCGCTCCTACCTGCACCGTCGTTGTTTTCGAATTTGTTATTCACATGGTTTATTTAATCTGGTCGTTACCCATAATATGCAGAAGCCAAGCTGTTTAAACAGTTTATTCAAGCTTCCCTTCATTTCCGAGCCACAAAACTGGGAATCGGCGCCCCATAATTCGACAAGTCAGCATACGCGAAGAGTATTCGAGCTGTCGAAGAAATGAAGGAGGCACATGCACATTTTTGTGACTACACAAGCATGTGTATGCTAAGGAGCGGCATGAAAATCACTGATGCATGATGTCATATACCTCGAGAACTTGAGAACTTGGTTAAGTGAGAAATAAAGGAACATAAATTCGAAACGAAACAAGAGGAAGCATAATTTAAAAATCCCATGATTATAGTCCATCATCGTGGTGATTCTTAGGTTTTATCGTTAGGTTTGTATCTGTGTAGCAGCGAGTTATGATCACCTTCTGGCAATCGATGTAGGCCTGGAGTAAGCGAGGATACAACGGATGACAGGCGATTTTGGCCTTGAAGACACCGAGGGATACGTTGTCCTCAGCTCGTCGGAACTCCGGAGCAGCGATCGACGCCGCCTCCGAGGACAAAGCGGAAGCGGCGGCGGAGATAAGCTCGTCGGATACGCGATTCTCACCGGTGGAGGAGCAAAGCAAGGCCTGGTAGTCGGACGGCAGCACCAGAGCCTCCGGCGTCAACATCAGCGCAGCCTTCTCCGAGTAGTCTCCCGCCAAATGGAAACCGTACATTCCATCCATAGATAAGATCGCAGGAGAAACGATCGGTGCACAGTGGTGCGATCTCCGGCCTCCTGTCACTCACTTCTGTAAAAACATGAATCGATGAAGAAGACGATGAAACAGGCTGAGTGAGAGAGAGAGAGAGAGAGAGAGAGAGAGAGAGAGAGAGAATTGCTGGAAATGGAGTGGCAAAGGAGAACCCCGAGTGGTGTTGGGGGCAAGGAGTGTAATTCTTTTGGGCCCAAAACAAAAAAAAAAGTCGAGAATTGGGCGAAAAACGTTCAAAATTACGAAAAAGGACATAGGACGAGGCTCAAGATAAGGCCTCCCTCTAACTTCGGAATTTGTTTTTACAAACATCTTTTCATTTTAAATCTTCATAGAAAATCGTTTAATTAATTCGAAATATGTATTATTCTTATTGTTATCGGAGGAAACTGTATGGGTAGGTAGGAATATAGGTATGCTTTTGCAGCTAGAGAGCTTATAGATTTGTACGGAACAATGCGGGTCTCCCGGGGATCAGACTGCGCCACGGTCCCTGGAGAGACCATCAGACCCATGGAGACTCAATCGGCCTGATGCATATACACACATTAATCCCATTATCCGTATAATTATTTCAATAAGATATATGTTATTTACAATATGTGTTTTTTTTATCCTTCGGGTCAGACGAATAACACGGCATCATATAGACAGTAAACTCATACGGTCCTACGCAACAATCGGCACCCGTATCAAATGAAATAACTTCGAATAGAGAGAGTTTGTCATTTTTCAACTGAGTTGGGTGTTTCCTCACGATATATATTTATTAGTCTCGAATCCACCTATATATATATATATACAGTGAGTGATATGTTATTTAAACAAAATTAATTCATCTTACCCAACATTAATATATATATATATATATTAAGTTCTTGAATAGGTAAATCCAAGTATCGTATCAAATACCCTCAGTAGACACTGTGTTGTCTACTTTTGCGCCCTTCTTTAATATTTAAACAACAGTATGATTAAAATATTGGGGTGTTCAATAAAATTAGAATGCTTACCATATATGCTTAAGGAATACAATTCGCATGATATACCGTGATCAAGATACCTTGTTTGTCCTTTTCTATGTAATTATTATAATGCTGTCACTACAAAGGCTCATACAAACTTATACCATCAACACAAATACCCTACAATATATATTTTTTTTAACTGTAAAATCTATTATATACCAAAAAGGTTACAAAATAGCCAGAAACATGTTTCCAGTTTGACAATCAGAAGTAGTGAACCCAGGCGTGAAGAGCCAAAGCATAAGTTATAGCAATTCAAACAATCGAAACCATAAAGTAAGTAACAAATCCTCGCAGTTCTGGTCGCTCCAAGTGCTCCGAATAGTCGTAAGTCGTCTTCGCGTCATGGTCAGGATCTCCTTTGCCACAATTGTCGGAGGTCTCGCCCGGTTTTCATGAAGACGCAGGTTCCTCTCCCTCCATGTGAGATAGACAGTCCCTTGCAACAACAGATGGATCATCAACTTGATAGACCTACTAGTTGTGCAGGAATCAGCCCAGTGGAGTGCTTCGGTGAAGGATGCAGCTTGCAGTGGAGACACCGGCTCTGCCCTAAGCAAAATAGCTCAGATTTGCTTCGGATAGTCACATACGAAAAAGAGATGATCGATCGACTCGTCCGCTTCATCACAGAGTAGACATCGCAACAACGTGTTTGGATTCCAGGATGCTATTCGATCCCTCGTAGGCAACCTGTGTCGTATAGCAAGCCAACAAGTAAATGCATGCTTTGGAATAGCATGAGTGAACCAAACCACCCTTTTCCATGCAACAGAACATAGAGGCGAATAGAATAGCCTCCAAGCCCGAGCAGTAGAAAAAGGTTTGTAGTCGACTTCCATGTGAGATGATGACCAGTAGAATAAGTCCGCCGAGGTAGAATGAGATGGCAGATCTAACTCCGATAGGCTCCGAAAAACCAACTCCATGCCACGACTTCTTGCGTGGAAGAACATCCAGCCATCTACAGAGCATGCATCACGAACAGATGCATACCGTGGGATGCCAAGTATACGAGGACCGTCCTCACCTAGATAGGAGATTAACGGCCCTTGAGGAAGCCAAACATCAAACCAGAAACTGCACAAAGTACCATCTCCCACGCGACAACGGATAAAAGGCCGAGCAATATGCCGAAGCTTAAGTATCTTCCGCCACATCCAGCTTCCTTTGGACTGAGAATTTAGATCCCACACAGATTTTCCTTTGAGCAAATGGTTCCTAACCCAAGCGACCCATAACGAACCACTTTTAGTGAAGATGAGCCAAAGAAGTTTAAGTGAAAGGATAGTATTCCAATCAGCTAGCCTTCTCAGTCCAAGACCACCGCAATCCTTCGGTGTACATACGGAGCTCCATGCAACCTTAGCTCCCTTAGCAGTTTCCGGAGATCCAGTCCATAAAAAAGCAGCGCACATTTTTTCCAACTCGCTTATGCAGTGTCGAGGAAGTATAAAGGTCGCAGTCCAGAAATTGATGATACTATAAATCACTGACTGTATTAGTTGCAATCTCCCCGCGAAGGATAGGTGCCGAGATGTCCATGAGAATAGCTTAGCCCGCACCGAGTCTTTTAGACCAGCGCAATCACGATCGGAGATTCTCTTCCCTGAAAGTGGTAGTCCGAGGTAACGTACAGGTAGGGGTGTCAAACGAGCCAGCTCGGATCATTTTGGGCTCGGCTCATTTGGCTCGGATCGTTTTGGACTCAGCTCGTTAGGCTCGTTTTCTAACGAGCCAGAAAAACCTTGGCTCAGATCGCTCGCCAGTTTTCCGATCCGAACGAGCCGGCTCGTTGAGCTAAGGATATATAATATTTTTTATTTATATTTATTTTAAATATAATTATAAATTTAAATAAATACATAAAATTTTAATAAAACACCAATATCATTTAATATTTTCAATTATCACAATCATAATAATTAGTATATTTATAATATCATATAAATAATATGAAAAAAATTAATATAAA